ACGGTCAACTAAGGCTCAAAAACATCACTGCGCCGCCATGTTTTGTCGACGACAGAAAGACTTCATTGGCTGCTTTAAAGTGGTGTCGGCTGCACAGTTGACGGGAACATGAGTGGGGAAACCGAAATTGTGCTCTTTTATGCGTTCGTTGAGCACAGACAAACAAACGAGTTGAGATATAGTATTGAATGAACTGTCAGGATTCTGAAGACATATGTAGTTTCACGACCCCTTTAAGCCAAGTATGTGCCACCTTTCGCACGACGTACTACATTCGGTCACAGTGCGCCCTGCATATGGTATAAAAAAGTGTTTTTATACAATGATGTGCTCGCTTTGTACACTACCGTATTGTTTAGGCATGGAACCTCTTAAACTGGTACAGTCACAGTTTCCATGAAATAAGCCGATACTACTAGCCAAAACATTAAAATTTAAAAACAAAGGGTAAATGTTGTGGGGTCTCGCCGAGGCGAACGCGCGCACCGCCACGCCACGCTCTCGGAGTGAACGGACACAGTGGACACGGTCGGTACAAAGCCCACAACATACATACATTTATTAACTAATTTAGACGACGATATCGTCCGCCGAATGATACAACCGATTTCAACTAACACGCTACCATATAAACAACATAACCCAGTGACACACTAAACACACAATAACATGATAAACACACACTAAAACACTCAACACACTAGCACATACCCAAGACGGCGTCGCCAACGCCTGAATTTCCACGTGGGACCCCGGCGCGAAGCCCGCGGTGCGAGCACCGGGGACCCGCGCTACAGACAACCGTTCGCGGCAGCCGCCACGCGCAGAAGAGGCTCGCTCAACGCTCGCCCACCACCAAGGCCCGCCTTCCGCCAGGGGCCACCACCGGCGCTGCCACTCTACCAACAGTGGTACTCAGAGCGAACACAACGCCACCTATCGCCCGGTGGTGGTCACCACCGAAATAACGCCCTGGGGCGAGACACGTGCGCCACGCGGCGCAGACAACTTTACAGGGGGGGGGGTGTCAGCACCCCCACATTCCCCCAACCTTAAATCAAACCATATCCCGAAATCAGAAATTAGCTACACAAGCTTTAACAAAAAATGATATCGCACAACCATAATGTCCTTGCACCACGACACCGCCGCCGGTCGACACTGCTGCACTGTCCGGCTAGGCTTCACCTCAGTACCGGCCCCGCAACAGCAACGTTGCCGTCGGCGCGACGATCCGTCGCTAGCGCCGACACGTCTTCCAGTTGCGACCAGCACTCGCGAGGGCGCCGGACTGCAGGCAGTTGCGCAGGTCCTAGGCATCTCCATCGCCCGACCTCACGACCGCATTCCTGGCCAACGACGCTGACGATATGCAGGACAGCTGGCCGTGGATGACATCCCTCCCGCTGAATACATCAACAAAAAACAAAACTCGAAAGAAACAAAGGAGCGCGGCCTAGGGGAGGGAGCTTCAGGCTTTTCGGCCACGTGGTACGGTGGTCAGTACTGCTGGCTAATACATTGGTGGCGGCCGAGACGCCCATCAAAATAAAACAAAAATCACTTTTCCTAACTCATGCTCACAAGAAAAAAAAAGTGAGGGAAGCAGAGCGCAACACCTCAACGCCACGATCCACCTAGTTGTGCCACGTGCGACAGGCGGCTGTGCAGAGCCTTAGGCCTAATGAGTCGCTCGGCAACAACCGGCATCCACCCAGCACCCAGCCTAGGCGCAGAAGAGGCAGCCGCGAGGAGACGTCCACTCTGTAAGGTGGCCCTATCGCTCGCCGCACACAGCAGCTTACCGAGCGATCGGCGTCCACCGCCCCGGGCGGTGTCACGACGCCCCGGCGTCGAGCCGCAATACAAGTCAGCAACGACGCCCGGCTCCCTGAGCCCAAAGAGATAGAAGAAGCTATTTACAGAAAATCGGACCACCCACGAGGCTTCCGTACTCACTCGCTTCGGGCCTGGCCTACAAACCACGTGCTCTAGGCCTTGCTCACCCCAGGATGCGGACCGCATGGCTCTCGTCCTAATTCAACAACGTTTTTGAAAACTAACAAAAAAAAAATAAGAACACTTGCGAGCAAAAAAAAAAATAGAAAGTCAACCTGCCGACAAATTGAAACACGTTACAAAACCAATCCCCTCGCTTCTCAACAAAGCACATCACCGACGCTAGCGAAGAAGTCCCCCCTAGGCCTACTCTACTCCGGCTCTAACAAAATCCCTGTACCGAACCGCAAAAACTGTCGTCCGACACTCCAAGAGCCCCACGTTGGGCAGCCAGTGTGGGGTCTCGCCGAGGCGAACGCGCGCACCGCCACGCCACGCTCTCGGAGTGAACGGACACAGTGGACACGGTCGGTACAAAGCCCACAACATACATACATTTATTAACTAATTTAGACGACGATATCGTCCGCCGAATGATACAACCGATTTCAACTAACACGCTACCATATAAACAACATAACCCAGTGACACACTAAACACACAATAACATGATAAACACACACTAAAACACTCAACACACTAGCACATACCCAAGACGGCGTCGCCAACGCCTGACTTTCCACGTGGGACCCCGGCGCGAAGCCCGCGGTGCCGAGCACCGGGGACCCGCGCTACAGACAACCGTTCGCGGCAGCCGCCACGCGCAGAAGAGGCTCGCTCAACGCTCGCCCACCACCAAGGCCCGCCTTCCGCCAGGGGCCACCACCGGCGCTGCCACTCTACCAACAGTGGTACTCAGAGCGAACACAACGCCACCTGTCGCCCGGTGGTGGTCACCACCGAAATAACGCCCTGGGGCGAGACACGTGCGCCACGCGGCGCAGACAACTTTACAGGGGGGGGGGGGTGTCAGCACCCCCACAATGTTGCCTCTGAGAATTATGTGAATGTTTAGGTTATCTCATTGGAAATAGTGTGCAACCACAACGTGACACCACTTGCCACCCTTCGCAGGCAGGCGCACAACAAACTGAAATTCGCGCGCCGAGCCATCAAAACGTTGACTAAACAACACTCACGTTTGTTGTCTTATAAACAGTAGACAATGTAGTGGCACCTCGGTTTCGTGACTTTGATGTAAATGTTGGCACACACACACAATATTACCAATAATTGTGGGAAGCCAGTAGAAAGAGAGTCAGAGCAAGCTACGATATTCATTTGCAAAGGTTATGCGTATTTCTCCAGCCTCTAATTGGGGACAAATGATGGAAGCGCACAAAGGTACGTACCCAGAGAATTCCATTGAAAAACATTGAGCTCGAAATATTGCCGGAGTTGGCCTTGAAAGCATCTGCCAGTTTGCTCCGCATTGCTGGGGCCTAAGCCATGATGTAGGAACAGACGCACCCAGACACAAGAAACCACCTAACACTGCAGCAACTGCAACGTCTCATATACAAATGCCGGTTTATTCTTGGAGAACTTGGAAAGGGACAGAGCCGGACTACTGTATCATGTCTGTAAAGTTGCTGGACAAGTAGGCAATGCCTGCTGCACCTCCAGAATTGTTTGGTGAAGATACATTAGTCAAGACTGCATCTCGAAGATCTGATAGAACTGGTTTGCTGCCATTTCTGCAAATTGTATTGCTTTAATGGCACTTTCCACTGATAGCGAGTCTTCTCTGAGTTGGTGCTCTCAAAGCTGGTCATCAGCCATTCCGAACACAATTTGATCTCGTATCACAAATTCACACAAAGTTCTGGACTTGTAACTCTGCTTTCAACTGCATGCTTTTTAAGAAGCTTTGAAAAGGTTCGCCATCCGCCTGCATGCATTATCAAAACAAGTATCATTCAAAAGTCTCATTCGTGCGAGGCTGGAAGTGGGTTTTATACTTCTGAAGAAACATGTCATTCATCTCATCCTTTCTGTCGTCGTGCAACCGAAAGTGTCAAATACTTCGATAGCTTGTGGCCCGCTACATAGAGTGGTGGTAACGCTGTTATTTGCTTTTGACTGCGTTCCTTCTCGCTTTCGATGGCTTCGAGGTAGAGTCCAAACGCTTACGAAACTTATGCCACCTCTCAGTGATATTCCATCAAAATAAGAGGTGGTCCAATGGGCTTAGTTCTTCCATGGCTTAAAGAAGTATTTATAGACCGTGCACTTCCGACACCATGTAACCAACACTGGGGCCTGAGCCATGCTGTAGGAAACAGATGCGCCCAGACATGAGAAGTAGCACGATGCTGCAGCACCTGTAGCATCATGCAGGTGCCAGTTTATTGATAGAGCACTCGGTAGGAGATGCAGGTAAAGGTTGCTGTACAACTATTTATTGTCCACTGCATGGATAGTTTGCCCTGCATGTCATTGAGATTCAGCAGATAATGTTGCACCCGGCACATGTTTACCCTGTGTTCCTTTTCGCAGTTTATTATTAGTATTTTTTATTGTGCACTCTGGCTTGGCTTTTCAGCATGGACTGCGCAACCTGCTTTGCACATAAATTGCTACTTTCAATGTTTTCATGTTGCACAATATTCCTGTAGGTGATGTGCAACCTGCCAAATGTTATGTTCTAATCATGTGGCTAGCAAGTGAATGGCTGAGATTGACAGCTAGTGTGTGAATGAAATGAATTCTAAAGAGAGAACATTCACAACAAGAATCAAGGCATCACACCAGAAAGAAAGACACAGTAAAAGTCGGTTGATTGTTAACTCATTCATTGGAAATTTTTCGACTAGTTGACGTGGTCTGGCCAATCTGCGTGTAGAAGAAGCTCACCATTTTGCATGTAATTTTTGTTCTCCACAAATAATACACATTTGCGTCGCTGGCTCTTGCACTTGCTGTCACTCATTCACTTGTGTAAAACTTCATGTTCCTCTTTATTGTATTATTTATTAGTTATCACTTGGGACTATGGGGCAAGATGAGGTGACCTGTGCGATCACTGGTTAGACAGTCCATGTTGAATCTTTGGCAGAGAGAACGGGGATGCTGGTTCTCTAAGGAAACTATTCTTGCAGGTACATGGTGAGCTTCCAGAGCCCCAAACTGCCCGAAGCAGTGCTCAAGGCAAACGACTTTGAGCTCATCGACAAAGCTCTTGGACCATCACAGGCGGATGTCAAGGAAGTTGTAAAGCATTCTTTCTCACAACCAGGTACTGCACATCTAGTCACGCTTAAATTTAAATTTGACAGTTTGAGCTCATCATATACAGTCACACTTTGTTAGTGCATGCCCTTTCAGCATGTACTAATAGTTAAAACCTAGATGTGACAAATCCCCGCGCGTGTCTCGTAGTATCTAATGCATTCACTAACCCGTTAAGGGGATATGCTATTAAAGAACAGCAGGCTTTTTTCGAAAGTACATTTTTTTAATTTGCTTTCACAAGTTCAGTTTGTCTACTTTCACCACAAAAAAAAAAAAAGCTCTCGCTTGTAATTAAACTCGAAGGAGGTTAAACTCTTTTTTAAAGAGCACATTGTGGCTACCAAAAACTAAAAAAAGCTCATTGTATATATTCCCCTGGAAATTATCACAAAAAGGTTGCAAACGATCCCCACATCCTTCCTTAAGGCGACTGACGTGAACGTCTCGCGACCAATGCGGCGCCTGTCTGTGGATGGGTTGACTGGCTCGATCACATATGTTATATTAGAGCGACCCTCTACTACGTGATAGGATCACACAAACTTGGTGGACTGGCCAGGAGAGTGCTGGTTCTAACCAGCAGGTTGCACAAGCAGAGTGCAGCAATTAACGAGCAGTTTAGTTTCATTTCATTTATTGTACCATCACGGCTGAAGAATTACAGAGGGAAGTAGTTGAAAACAGTATTATACAAAAAAATAATAATAAACAACAAAAAATGTGTTACAAACAGTATACCAAAAATTATGAAAACAACAATACAATATACATCAACCAAAACTGATTAATTACTATTAGTTAAAACTGTCCGAAAAATTTGATGGTTGGTAATGTCTGCGGTTAGAGCGGGAAGGTGGTTCCAGTCCTCGCAAGTCCTAGGAAAATTGAATTACAAAAAGTGGATGTCCTCGAAAAAAGAACAGCAACCTTATGTCGGTGATCAATGCATGATGATACATACTGAGGAGGTGAGATAAAGTCATTGTGTAATGAACGATGATGTAATATGCGAAGGAAGAGACACAAACGGAACATTTTACGGCGGGATTATAATGATCATAGTTCAAAGTTCCCCTTCATGTTGGTAACACTTGCGGTTCGTGCATACTTAGACATAATGGATCGTGTTGAATTGTTTTGTGTTTTGAATTATTTCCAAGTGAGTAAATAAGGTTATCGTGAAATGGGTCCCAAACTGAGGCGGCGTATTCAAGCTTCGAGCGAATTAGTGTTTTGTACAATAAAAGTTTGAATGCTGGAGGAGCACGGGAAAAGTATTTTCTAAGTTAATCAAGTGCTTTGTTAGCGCTATGCATCATAGATTCAATGTGTTTTTTCTACGTTAATTTTAATGATATAGTTACACCGAGATATCTGTAAGATACTATTTGCAGGGGAAAGTTGTAAAGGATGTATGAAACTGCCGTGTTAGTAGATCGAGTTATGCGCATGACCTTGCATTTTTTAGTGTTTAATTCCATGCACCAATTTTTGCCCCATTGGGATGCTGCATCCAAATTTGATTGTAATATAGTGATGTCATGAGGGCTGGTTATTTCTTGAAATAATACACAGTCACCTACCAACAAGTTAATACGGGGTGAGACACAAGAAGGTAAATCATTAATGTAAATTAAAAAAGGAGAGGGCCGCTCCTTGTGGCACACCTGGGGAAACAGGACTCGGAGGAGAGTCAGTATTGTTAGCAGAGGCGAAGTGAGAATGATTTGTCAAAAAACATTCAAGCCATACAAGAAGTTTAGAATCCAAATTTAGTAACTGTAATTTATACAAAAAGCTGGTTATGGGACACCTAGTCAAAGGCTTTCGAAAAACCTAAAAGTATACAGTCAGCTAGAAAATAACGATAGAGGACTGCATGAAGATGATGAGTAAAACACACAAATTGCGTTTCACATGAGAATGTCTTGCGAAAACCATGTTTTGAAGATGAAAAAAAAGGAATTTGATTCAAGAAAGGATACAAGATTCGAAAAGAAAATATGCTCTATGACTTTATCTGGAATACTAGTAAGGAGAATGGGGCGATAATTTAGAGGTGAGTGCTTGTTAACAGACTTGTAAAGAGCAACCAACCTCGCAGTCGTCCAGTCAGTGGGAAGAGAGCTTTTGTCAATGGATTGCTGAAAAAGTTTTGTTAAAATGATTGATGAATAGCATGATGTGTTTATGAATAACCGCAGAGTACTGAAGTGGCACCCAGTGGAGGAGGATACTTTTAGGATTTTAATAGTTTTGACCACGCTACCGGAATCAGTAGCTATAGGAGACATCAGAATAAAATCAAAAGGTTTAATGTAAGGAGTAGGTTTGTCAATAGTTTCTTAAAGTTTTGCATAAAGACTTCCTTAACGCACTTGTGCACTGCACATCAGGTGAGGCATTTCCTATGGAATCAACAAGAGTGATTGTGTTATCGAGCTTGGAAGTGATCATGAGCGCCAGAATTTTTTCTGATCCTACATTAGTATCGATGGTAGCATGTTATTAAAAAAAAAAATTATCTTTAGCATCCTTTATGGCTGCAATATATCTGGTGACAGCTTACTCGTAGGCTGCCCAACATCGTGAACGGTATGCGCTATTTCTCTTATTTGACAAACGTTTATAGAACGGTTATACTACGGCACATTACCATTTGAGATTATCGTACAAGTGGGTATGTACTTTTTTGTTTGTTCTTTAACCTTGCACAAAATTAAGTCCCAGTTAGATTGTCCGGTTCGATCTTCGAAACCGTCTAGATAGCCATCAAGTAAAAGACAAAAGTTGTTCGTTGATCATTTCAAAATGGGCATTTTTATAATCGTGAATCACTTTATTTGTGTTCTTGCATATTGAGAGTGAAATATTAAAGTGAAATGACACAATGCAATTGTCGCTCATACCTGGTATGTGTGTAACATCAGAAACGTATTCAGAGTGTGTTGTTAGCAAAAGATGTTGGCTGTTGACTTGACTATTCTAGTTGGTTGTTTCACCAATTGTGTTAGAGAGAGAAAATAATGTGCACAGATCCAGAAATTCTTTTGCTAATAAAGAGGATGGATTCAGCATAGGTGGCTCTGACATCCACAAAATATTGGGAATGTTGAAATCGCCGATCAGGAAAAGTGGTAACCTCGGGTATTGTGACATTACAGAGTTGATCACATCGTGTAAGTCATTAACAAAAGTATGACTGTAAGGGGGAGGTCGATAGCAGACACCAATAACTATTTTATATTTAGGAAACTGAACAACAGCCCAAATGGTTTCCAACTCACTTGCAATGTTATTGCGGCAAGACGAATTTGCTTGAAAATATCAAGCAATACACCACCACCTATCCGTGGTCCCCGATCATGACGATGCACAGAAAAATTATTAGCCGAAGAAAAATGCTCGTCATTCGTTACATTCGGTATAAACCAGGTTTCTGTTGGTACGAGCACCTGTGTGTTGCATGTACCTGTGTGCTGCATGTTTCTGGTTCCACCAGAAAACAGCAGCTCCCAGCAGAAAGCCAGCAGGAAATTTCCACCTGGGGTGTCAAGTATAGTTTTTTTCTCTTTTCCCGCTGAAGCAAGGTTCTGGTCTAGAAGAGGTGCAACAGCTGTGCCAATTGCACCAATTTGATACAATTCTCCTTCATTTTGCCAAGCTAGGCCAACACTATGAAATTATTAAAATTGTGCCGCACTGCCTTAAAATGCCCGACCAGCCTCAAAATTATCTCACTTGAATTAATTTTAGCACGAAATGGAGGCCACATTGGCCACCTGCACTTGGCGTTGTAAATCAAACCAAGCAGCAGACGCTAACCTTAAAACACGGTGTAAGATATGTGCTCGTTAAGTAAAAGATGAAGTAATAATTCTGCACGCCCCGCTGATGCGTTCATTGGTTTGCAGACCATGGAGGATACCTATTGGCGGGTGAACAAAACATCAAGCCAAAAAAAAAAAAAAAAGCGTTGCCGCAGACTTCAAAGATTCGCAAGAAATATAAGTTTCCCAGTCAGCAAACGCGGGTACGGCATGTAAAGAATGTATGCCGCGTTTTCTGCTCGCGCACAGGGTTGAAGTTTTGCGAACCCTGTCATTGCCACCCACCGCTTGATGTTGCGTCATCCTGGTGATAGATATTCATCACTGGGTCAACGGGCGCGCGCGCCTTTGTTACTTTATCTGGTCGAACGCACCTTGCAAGCGAGCCGAGACGTTGGGCCCTAAACCTAACCCCACCGTCAAGGGAAAAAAAAAGTCATAGTTTCGCCGAAAGGACGAAGCAATAAATGCGATAGAAACTTGAATATTCGAATGTTTTACGAAGCAAGGCTAGCATATTTAGGAGCACTATTAATTGCAACTAGGATGTGTTTGCTAAGTAACCAAGTTTGCCGTTTTTTAAGCAACCAACGATTCGGATGTGATTCCAGACTGGCGTTCGTATTATTGGGGTGTTCGAGTAAAGACATCCTTCTCTCCAGTGATGTGAGTAATTTCTTTTTCTTTTTCAGGGGCCGTGACTGCGGCCATAAACTACTATCGTGCCCTGTGGCGAAAAGACGAGCGCCTCCGAGATCTGCACTTCCGCTACCTCAACACTCCGACGCTCATCGTGTGGGGCCAGCGGGACCCCTACCTGACGCTCAAGCTTGCCCAACTCAGTATCCTACAGGCTTTCGGCCGTGTCGAGTACTTGGCCGATGCGGGACACTGGGTGCACAGGGAGCGAGCCGAACGGGTCAACGACCTCATGCAGCAGTTCTTCAAGAACACCGAGGCCCTCTGCTAGAATCTCAACACTACGGGACGTTTTCTGTGCGAGTGCATAGTTGGTAACGGAAGAGTGGTGTCATTTGCAGACAGTTCTGGGATTCTTCAAACATCTAGCATCACTGTCCGTAACTTACTGAAGAGATGTGATTCATTTGGATGCAGCGTGTGCCAGTGTATAAGTGTAGGCCTGCCACTACAACTCAGCGATAGTCTCTATCATCTGAAATTGTCTCTCTGATTGAAAGTGTGGTTAGCAGACAGTTCGGACCATATATGCGTGTTGTTTGATCTAATGGGTTGCAGACAAACTTTGCTGGTGCAGAGTCTGAGGTGTGTGCAGCCTTCTGACAGTTTTACTTTCTTACGGTCAGCTGCAAGTGGTCTCTACAAATTTCTTGATAAGCGTCATAGGTATTGGTGCCATGTTTCTGTGTGGTGCATGTCAGAACCTAAACTAGTGCAGCTATTTTTGGCTGCCGTCTATAAATTTAGAGGCTCATCTTGAAAGAACAATGAAGGTTGCTCCATGCACAAAGCATCCGGTGACTATTTATCTTAATGGGGGCATAGTTATTTTCCTTCACCATATTTAATTGTATAGAACCGTTGAGTATATTTATGTTTTTCAAAATGTTCTAATTATGAGGCACCTGTGGTGTTGGACAATTTCTAATATTATATTTAGATCTTTGTGCCATTAAGTGACCAAATATGTAGTGTGCTATGTTTGTGTGGGTAACAATTGATGTCACTAATACTGAGTTTTTTCTTTCATCTCTTTGCTATTGCATATAGTATGGACTGTTGGACTAGGTATAGTGGAACCCATTTATAGCAAACTCCAAGGGGCCACGATAACTGGTTGTCGTATCAGTAGTTCGTTGTTGATGGACTCTCCCTTAAAAACATGCACTTAGCGCCCAAGCTGTTTTTTTTTTTCTGTGCATGTTTATTAAAAAGTGCTAACAAACTCTCTGGTGACAAGATAGGCCTTTTTGTGTGTTCAGCCACGTCCGATGCATTCACTAGTGCATGGAACCTCGTTTACAATGAACTCGTGGCGTTCCACTAAAGCGCGGTATACTACCACAGGTCAGAACCGATCGCATGCAGCACCATTCAGGTGACGGACCAAATCTGCATTTGGAGGCACGGACGCCATATGGGTTCACCTCGTTGATTCCCGTCGTCCACGTGTCTCGCGAACAGATCAGCCCAAGCTGTTCTTCCCATCAAGATTCCGACGACAGAACGCCACAGCTTTTGGCCAACCAGTGGGCTGGCAGCCAGTACACTTTTCATCTGCTCGAGCCGTACGGCTGTCTTTGTAGTGAATTTCAGGTCTGCTGTCTTCGCAGTGAATTTCAGGCCTGTTGGCACTTAGTTCACTTTATTTCTGGCTTCATAGTCTAAGACGATCACCTTGACATATCTACACTTTTAATGAGCGTTAATTGGCAGGTTGGAGGGTAGCAGGTAAGTTGTTGCTGTAATCATTGCAGACACGGGATTCTGCGGCAGGCAAAGTGGCGATGTTGCCAAAGAGGTATTCTCGGAACCCGGCCCTTGTTTGAACACTTATATTAAGGTCAAGATGCGAACCAAGACAAGAGAAAATAATGTGCAGCAGTGCAATGTGCACTCTGGTACCTGTTATTCGCAAAGAAAAAAAGAAGTGCCGATATCATCTCTCATCACTGTACTCTCCCTTTCTATGTGTGGCCCCACATGCAACAACAGCGCAAGGTTAACCTACAGCAGCAGTGAAGCAAATTTTTATTCCCATACAGCCATTCCACCAACAACACTGTTTTCAATGAAACAATTTACAGTCCTCGAGAATGCTCAACAAAGCTAAGCGAGCTTGATATTTTCTTGGCTCACATGTTCTTGAATACTCTCCAACTGGTCTGTTGGTAGTTGGTGCAGGTGAGTGCAGAGGCTGTGGTGGAGAGAAATCTCTCTGTTCTCATTTCTGTCGTGTCAATCCATTTGAGATAAGCAGTCCGCGTCCATGACAAATCTAGATTCAGTTTGTCATCTCGGCTCTGGTTGCATGCCGGGCCATTTCCATTTGCAGTTTAATGTATGTGCACTGTTTTGCATTCTTTGTGCACGCTTCATTCTTAATCATGCTCGGGTACAGCAAATAGCCTGTTAGTTCAACTCTATGAAGACATGCATTTAGCAAGCATTGTGTGAGCAGCCTCGCACAAAGTGACAGTGGCGAACTTGCGAACGGCAGCATGGCGCACATTGTTGACGATGAGTAACAGTAGCACGTTCGTTGTCACCGGCCACGATCGTCTTCGCTCTTTTCTAATGCTTATCTATTAAGACATCACCGTAACCGCGGAAGTCATTATTATTGATCGAGCAGTCTCTGTAGTAACCTCTGCAGAAGGCCTTTTGGGGCACTTTGAGGTATGGGCGAGTTGTGTCACAGTGAACGTTGATGTGATAGAAAGTCTCTGCTTCTTGCATTTGTGGCTTCTTGCATATGAAGGCATTGTTCGGTTAGTATTTGGCGGTCATAGATGCAGAAAACGGCGCCAGAAAAGTTTGCCACATGAAATGCGACTGTAAGCCTTCTTGCTACCTCTTACTTTTTTTTTTTCTCTACCGTTTTGCCATTGAAGAAATGCCTAAAAGTAAGCGAGCTCATGCTCAGTGTCTGAAATGTGCATGTGGTGCTCGCTGCCATGGAGTTAATATAGCAGACTCTTAAGTAAAAGCTCACTATAGGGCCCATGCATTAAAACCTATGACCACTCGGCTGCCGTCATGATGAAACAGTACTCGGCATTTGGCTTTAGTGCACTCACGCTCACCACTGCATGCTGAAATGACCCCTGGTATTTTTTGTACTTCATGGCTCTCATTTGCATCGCAGTAAGAGACTGTCGGGTAAAGTCGAGTTGTTCGCTCTTGACAACAAATAATACGGACGACGAAACGCTGTATACGACATGGCTGACCTGGAAGCAAGCCAGTGCAATCGGCCGCATAACCATGCTCTCAAGTGCTTATACGGTACGAGAATGATGACATTGTCTAGTGAACAAACCTGGAAACACAGTTTTTTTGGGGGAAGGGCAATAAATTTCATATAGGGTCAGTGCATTTGTTAAAAGTACTGTTGATGTTAACATCAAATAATTTCCATTCATTTCTAATACAAAAACTCTTGTTTACTATATATATTCCAAGAATTTGCTCATATTCAAATGCCATATTTGGCACTCCTGTAAATAAATGTGATGGCCACAGTGACAACAAACATGCTTTTCCTTGGTTATAGCTTGATCGGTACAGCTTTTCCTCTAGAGTTGGCATATAAACTCTGTGCTCGGTACGAACGACTATAGCTTCGATGCAAGTAAACTGCAGTGGGGCACACGCAAGCGAGTGCCTGTTATTTGATTGTTTTTATTAACCTTTATATGCGCCATATTTTTACCGCAACCCTGTCTGTAGTGTTCGTTTTAAAGTAGGAGGCTTTGTAAAATGTTCACTGTAAGTAGACCAGCATAGAAAAATTGTTAGTGCACTAAAATATGGTAGTTATAACGGGTATATCATTATATCTGGGATTGCTATAATTATGTTTGACTAAATAATACCAGTGATCATGATTTATTTTTAATAATGCTGCCTTAGGTATATTTTAAGAAGTAGATGATTCATATGAATAAAAACATTGTGCAACTGCCATAAGGCTGAGTTCTATTTCACTCTGACTGGGCATTGTTTAATAGTTTTTCTTTGTTTTTTTTAAGAATACATGGCGAGTTATCAAGATAGTGTGATCGCAGGATCGCTGCATCAAAGTGCACACGGTGCAGCCTGTTCCGTGGAGCTGTCGTGCGTTGGCGAGCGAGGGAGGACACTGTTGACAGTTCCAGTCTCAACATTCAAAGGGGGCTCCAGTAGTGGGGTAACTTCCGACAAGGAGCACTAATGAGAGTGTGCCTCTCTTTTTGTTCATTTCATTACGAGCATTGACGGGCCACCAGAAGATGACAAGTACCAGCAAGCACGGAGGGAGAAACAGGGGCGTCGGACTACTAGCAGGGCCTTAATGGCCTCGGTCAGTGCCAGTGAAAGCCTTTTTTTAACTGCCTCAATGGGATCAAGTTTTTTTATGGCTGCTCCACGCCATATCCCGTGCATTTCGTTGCCGATCGACCTCGGAAAGACCAGCCGATGGCTGCGAGTTGCCTGGGTGAAATGAAGAAGCTTAAGCAAAGCGGACTTCACGTCAGTCTCAGAACAGCCTAATCATTAATAAGGCAAGTGCCATATTTCGCAATGAGACACGTGAGCAGCTCGATTTTATAGGAGAGACTGCAAACCAATAATAATGAGAGGAACATAATCGACATGGAATAAGACTGTCTCATCTCAGACAAAGACTTCTAAGCTGAGTATGACGCAGTCTTGAAGTATGAGGACAAAGCAACGCGAATCCTTGCCATGCTCCAAGGCAGGTGGAAGCACATTTAAAGCACACAAGCAGAAGGGAGATTGTGGTCAGTTACTTATGCTACTGCTACACTATCTGAGAGGACAGGAGCTAAGCTACTGAAACTGAACATTGCACCCATTTCTGGGGATGTGTGCAAATGGACGTAGTTCTGGGAGCACTTTTTCCATATTGTAAAAACAACAGCAGCATGACTACGATAGAGAAATTCCATTATTTGCAACAGTTTTTGAAAAGAGATGCTGCTTCAGCGGTGGCCGGAGTATTACAAGGATCCTTTAGACATGCTACGAAAGCGCTTCAAGGAGAAGACTCGCCAGGAGCAGGAATACTTCGCAATGTTGCGTCAGCTTACTCTTGTTCAAGCACCTGGTGACACAGGAGCTCTCCGGAAACTGCTGGGTGCTGGGTGTGCAGTGGTCGTCATTTTCATCGATGCTCTGCGGTATCATGCCTAGAGCATTACCTCGAGACATTGTAGTTCTCTATCATTGAACCTGTGTTGCACCAGTTGGGATTAACGACGTGGACTATGCTGTTCATTCTTCGGGGCTAGACAGCCTCGTGGTGCTCCTTTCTATCAAAGGAGAGACCCTAAGAAGAGTGACTAGAAGGACAACAGCTTACGAGACAGTGGAGGTCAGCATGGGTCAAATCAGTCATCCCGAAGTTCCAATTGCAACCGGCCTGCTTCATCTATTTTCGTGATGAACTCCTCTTATGATTTTCAAGATGCCTGAGATATTTGTACATTCTGCATATCAAGACAACATTTGAAAGAACGGTGTCAAACCAGTATGTCCACATTGCAGAAGAAGCAAGTGCTGTTCAAGAATAAATGGTGTTTCCGGTGCACAACAAAAAGTCACGGGACACGGGACTGCAAACTAAAAGTCTTTAAATTGAGGTGCAAAGGGTGCCATGCTTCAAGTATGTGTGATTTACAGAGAACTACTCAAAGGTGGCTCAAAGATGTCACAAGAAGCCATGTGAGCAAACCAAATGAATACACAACTAAAAAGAAAAGCACAAGGAAATCGGAACCAAGGAAGACATCACTGGTTGTTGGTCAAAAAGATACAAGCTTCCATTAATTGAAACATTGGAAGATCATGACGCGGCAGCGCTTGTTTGAATGCCATTAATACCATTTCGAACCCATACTGAGACTGCTGCATCACACGTTAACCATTAGCTATTCATTTAGCAGGACGCTGCACCATGACAAGTTGAAGTTGAGAGCAACATGGAGCAGGCAGCTTTGCTAAAAACCATGATGGCTGATCGACGTTCAAAGGTGCGCGAGGAGAAAATAGAGCATGAATGGGACAGAGTATAAAAGCGACCAAGCTAAGTGAACTTCAATGCTTGCTTTCCGAAGAGTGACAGCATCGCATGAAACTGAAACATAAAGTTGAAGTTCTGAGAAAAGCTGCTCAAGCGGTCTTGGTTATGGAGTACGAGGCAAAAGTGCAGAAACTGGCTGAAGAGTTGAACGAGGTGCGGAAGTGACTGCATGGATTAGAGAATAAAGTTTGATCATCGTCACCCCTAATACACAAAGTATAAAAGTTGGATGAGGAGGAACACCAGGCTAAATATGTAGACATTGAAAAGCGGCAAGGAAATGTGGAGATGCGTATAAATTAGCACACAATTAAATGTGATGCACAATTATTTAGCTTGGACAGCTGTCTACAGGAGCTGACCTCGACAGTGGGAACCAACAAGCAATTGCACCAAGGTAGGCACACCCTTTTATAATACTGCAGGCGTCAGTGACAAGGCAACAGAGCTCTCTTACTATGACAGCAACTGCTACATTAAGGCATTGCTGGACTCCTTTGGCAAAACACACCTGCAGATGGAAGAGTTGCAACAGCAGAGAGGCCTCGTGACCAAATTGCCTACTTCTGCTATCTGGCTACAAAGGAGGGCCTTAGTCTGCTTGCCAAATGGACGGAGAAGCTTTGCAAAGTGAAAAGGGAGTATGACCAGGCAAGGCAGCATGGACAATAGGAATCTCGCAGAGATCATTCGGTTGAGAAATTCTGGTGATAACGTATGTTCTTTCACGGTGAGACAAGCAATCAAGGACGGGTTTTTGTAACAAGACCTTCCAAAAAATTATAGCACCTGGAACTGTGTGACCAACTTTACTGCGAGTATAGGAATGTCAATTTCATCACGATCACTAGTGGGCCACAAGAAGAAGAAGCACCAGCAAGCACGAGAAGAGAATTGGGGACGTCTGGCAGGGTGTTAATGGCCTCGGTCAGTGTCGATAAAAGCCTTTTTTTAACTATGTGTATGGGATTGAGTTTTATGGCTGTTCCAAACTATATCGCACACATTTTGTTTTTACATTGTGAAGTGAGGTTGCAGGCTTGTAACAACCTAACAACCTTTTTTCTTCGCACAGCGGAGTGAGGCTACAGAATTGCAACAATAGTCATGTGTTGTGCCTCCTGCTAACTCTAATGTAGGTCATCTGCGTAGTTAAGGTGGCAGCACGCTCAAAAACTGCTCCGTTTCTCTGTGCACATAGAATGCAAAAAAAAAATCCGGGTTTGTCAGAAAAGAGATGAAGCACATTTAAGTGGAGAAGTGGAAATATGTGTAAACAACTTCACTCAGCACTGCTCCCACAGTTTATTAACTTACCCTGAACTATGGTGTGGTTTTGGCAGCCCTCAGCGCATGAACCATGTCTGTAACGTAACGGCTACTTTGACCACTGCTAGCCAACTGGACAACGTCAATGCAACTATGCAGCGTGTGGTAAGGCTGGCACGCAAGCCGCTCAGAAAAGGTGCTGCACCTTTGAGGCCAAGACGGCGTGTCACCGACTGGAATGTAGCATCTCTCTTTTGCAATGCAAAATTATTCTGCTGTCCGTCTGTCTGTCTGTGTCTGTCTGTCTGTCTAGCCGCTTACGTCTAGGTGCGCTCGTGATCACACCCTTCACTTTAATTGCTGTAAACTAAACTGAGTGTGCGAGGGTAAGATATCTCGACGAATGTGGCTCGCGGTTCGTGGTATGAATAATGTCACAATCTTATTGCGTGTGCCGTCAAACCCTTTCCACCAGACGTATTGCACATATCCGCGGCCACTGATGATTCACATTTTATATCAATCTGAAAACGGCGAGAACTGAGGAGCGTAATTTTAACACGTGAGCGCTAAGAAAAAGCGGAAATCGGCAGCGTTGGCCCGACGAATGCAAAAAATAAATGTCAGCGTCCCAGCAGGAATCGAACCCAGCATTTTGCGTGGCAATCAGGTATTCAAACTCGGAACTACTTTTTCAATTGAACCGTAATGTTCATGAAACGTCAATTGTTGTTGCGCTGCTGGCTATCCAGTTTTATAAACAACATGTGCTCATTTGATACCGCCGTCAGGTCGGGTCACATCCTCTGAAGTTGATTAGCAGAGTCCTGAGCTACCATCCTCGCGAGCACCACCAGCGCTTCGTATCTGATTACCGCTTCTGGTGTTGCTAATATCCGTGTTGATGTTGGTATCGTTGCGTAACTGTTAATAGTTGGTTATGCAAACTCGATGGGGCTGTTTAACGTATCTTTGTGCAGGCATTGTACATATTCTTACGCGACATCTTTGGTGGTGCACCGCATTTCGCTGTGGGGAAGTCATCACATCGTCCAAATAGGAGGGTGCTATTACAAACTCCGGACTCGAACAACAGTTATGGGCAGTCCACCAAGCCCGCGACGCAGCAGAGAGACTTGGTCTTTCTGTTTCAACATGGGAGCGGCCCGCAACGCGCTAAAGCACGTTCTCAAGGACCAAATAAAGCTTGTTCATCCATCCATCCACTGGGAACGATGTTGTGTAACAATATCTTTCGTGCCACTTCGTAACGTTTACCTAAAAAAAAAGTTACAATGCAATAACCTTCTATTCTCTCACTTCGCATAACATAGATTCCCAATGTACGTGGAATTTGCCGAATTTTTTATTCATCTGCCAAATTTTTCATTTCTCTCGCATGCACCCAATTGAATTCTTGAGAGGGGAGTGGGGTACATGTGTGAAGCAATAACGAGAATACTAATGTTTTGGCAAACACTTTCAATAACAAAAGTTGGCAGCAGCACGTACAGTGGTGTACCAACTTTTTGATAAGTGGGGGGGGGGGGGGCAAGCTTACCCAATTTGTTCTCGATATATATATATATAGTGGGAGTAATAATTCAATGGGCCA